TAGGCGAAAAAAAAACAAAATAAGAAACGTAACAACATTTAATAACTTTACCTAAAAACGGTTATTAAATCACCACCGCTACTAAAATTATACTATTTTATCTATCTGTAATTTATTTAAATCTGGTTTTGCGCAGGCTCTCAAATAAAAATGATTTGGAATAGCGTTTACATATATCATTTAAAATGTTAATGTCTCACAGGTTTCTCTCAAACTGTATTTTTATATCGCGAATCTTCGCTACGGGGTCCATATTTCCTCGCTCGCACAACCGGCTCGTAAATTACTCAGAACGTGTTCAGACTACTCGTTTTTATTTTACACACGACTCAAAAATACTCCCGGGAATTAAAACTCGGTCAGCCTTCGAACGATTATTATATTTGAACAAATACTTAAGTGGATTTTCTGGATCGTGCGCTGGAAATTTCAATTACTTATCTGCTTTGGGCGGGCTCAGCAATAGGCTATAATTCATATAATTGCTTTTAAGAACAGTTTTTTATTAAACTGCTGAACTTTGGGATTTTAAAGAGATCAAACGAAATCCGTATCGTGTTATATTTAAAACAATATTTAATAAAATCCTGGGCCTAAATAAATTATTATTTGTAAGGTTCCATATCACAAAATATTAATTTAATAATAATTTAATATCTATTAAAACTTCCATGTTCGGTGTATTTCCTTTTATTTGTGTGTTGGAATTGATAATTAATTATTATTCCTTAAAGTAAATTTACTAAAAAAAATATACACTATACTATACTATACACATCCTATTATTTATTTGTTCATAACTATTATAAATCCTAATTTTTTCATACAAAATTTAGGGACAGAAAATACTATTTTTTACATACAAAAAACAACTCGAGTGGTATTATCGACCTATACACCGACGTCCTGGTTAATAAATGCTTAATGTAAAATTAATGTTAAGTCATTAATATATCTAAATGTTTCTAATGTACAAAGCCGATTAAAGATAGCTTATAGTATTACAAATTGCTATTATTTATTAGATTTATTTACGAAACATTATAGACGTCACAGCGAGCTTGTCTCCCATTACTCAAGTTGGCTTAACTCGTTGAATTTTAACTGGGATTTAGTTTGGTGCTTCGTTTGTACGATGCCGGATTATTTCGAGTTTCTGGAATTTAGGCATTGCTTCACAGAATGGGTTATATCTGAGATTTTGCAATCGCGTAAAAAATAAATGTGGATATCGCTTAAAACAAAAGGAGTTCGGTTTTAAAATATATTATTGTTATTATTAATTTAATTGATCTAACTTTTAATAATAACTTATACGTTGATATCATTAATTGCTATAATGAAAAGACAAGAAATATAGTTATATTTCTTAAAGGAGTAATAATATTACTACGTTATTTACATCACAATAACACAAAACAGGAGAAAAATAAAATTAAATAAATGTTGTGTTACTGCTAAAATCAGTTTCTTCCAGACAACCCAACATAATCGAAAATACAGAAAAGATATATACATTACAGAACTTTTAAAACTTCACTAAACTACTCAATGTAATAATACATATAGGTAAAATTAACAAAAGTTACGGTACATTGTTGTTAATTGTTTCTTAAATGTAATTAAGTCTGCGAGGTCTGCACGGTTACAGGCAGATATGATTGGTGATATGATTTCTATAACACTGAAACTAATGAATAAAATGAATAATATTTTTAACATCATAAAGGGCAATTTGTGGGAGACTTTTTTCTTATAGTTAGGTAATTAGCTTGAAAAGCAATATTTGTTACAGGTAAATAAAATATTAAACAATTTTTTTTCTTCCGTTTTTAATAAGTATCAATAAGGATATAGGACCAAAACATGATGAGTGCAAACATAGCATGAAGACGATATCCCAAAGGCGTATTTGCGATTTAAAATAAATGTAGGGATTGGCTGAGGCTCAGACCGCGTCGTTTAACGCCGCTACGCAAAACTGCCAAGCGTAAATCGTTACGGAAATATACTTTCATTTTTAGATTTGACAGAAGGAAACATTTTCTTTTGATGTCTTTTATAAGATATTTTTCCGTGTGAGTGCAAAAACTGGTTTCATTACGAATTTAAAAAGACAACTGAAATCATTTATTCATATAGGTAAAATAATGCACACTTCTATATTACAGTAACGTCAAAAAAATAAAAAAATTTTGTTTACTAGGACCAGTTATTAAATCAAGGGCATAAAGGAAAACTGACAATAATGTCTCCGCCTTTTTGATGCAATGTTGTTTTACTTTTATTCGGTTATACAGCTCAATTCTTTTGAAAAAATATAAGAATTCAAATTTCGCAAAGGCCGCAACGTTTGCTTGTCTTGCTGCAACCACAGAAGTGAAAGACAATCTATTAATTAATATAAAATTATTTACCTATTATTAGCGCGCATCTATTAATAAACTGTTACTGTATTTTGTGTGGACTGGAAAGTCATAAAATGAAGATAGACGTTGATGCGTCCACCAACATTTGTCTTTGTCAATCGCCGCTTATATCATATGCCCCGTGCATTCTTGTATCAATAATTATGAAAACTATGCAACTATCCGATTTAAAAAAATATTCACCGTATAGTGTTGTTGTCGTATGTATCTTTCTTTACAGTCATCGTAAGACCCAAAGAAGTTTGACTTACATTTTATCAGAGAATTATAATATTCTTCTGAACATTATGTATTTTCAACCTTTGTTTTCCTTAAGTGTTTTATATACTAAAAAATATTTGGATCAATGGGTAAAAAACACCTAAAGTATTTTCTCATTTTTACCCGTGTGGCTTGCTCTATGAGAAACTAATTGTAAAATTTATGTTATACCGTTGCTTGCGGCTTCAAATGCGTGTTGTTCTATTTCAACACGCGCTTAATTCAACAGCCTTTTTTGACATGATGAACAACACAATCAGCATACAATATCTACGTATTTTATCAGTAACTGCAAAGGGATCCATTAAGAAGTTTTAGACATTAGCGTGTACGTTCTGGCGTAAGAAACGTATTGTCTTTATTCTTTAAATGTACTAAAATGCAATTTCTTGCAACTAGCAACAACTTGCCCAGTATTACCCGATTACAAGTAATTGCACTCGATATAATTACTGTCTGCGATCGAGAGCTGAATATAAACTAGTGCAATAAGTGTCAGGGCGCACGTGCGAGCCACGAGTCGGGTCGACTTCTCTCCAATAAACCTTAAATCTTTTTCCAATCTTTTATGGTCCACTGGTCTTTTGCAAGTTTTCGGTGATAGAAATTTAAAAATATCTGCAAATTATTCATGTATGGAGAAACCTACAAAAATGGATTTAAAATGCTGACTTATGTAAACAATCATCGTAGACTTGAAGCCAATATTGAGTCCTTTAGTTTTTACCACACTTATAAATTGTATTTTAAAATTCTCGTCTCCGATAATGTCCAATAAATAACGTGTCATTTAGATTTATTAACGTTAGAAAAGCCAAGTTTGTTTTTGTTAGCGCCGCAACACCACTACCGCTAATTGTGTGTTAGTTATAAGCTCAAATTTTAAACCATTAAAGTCAGTTGTTACCTAGCTTCAAAGAATTTTATTTAAACATCTAAATACAAAAGCTAATTCTCGATAAAACTGTGTGTCAGATTTATTGATATATTCATTCATTTAATAAAACACTATTTTGACCGGATTGAAGTTATGTATTGTTATGTATTATTATAATATTCATTCATTGTTGTTTTATGGGTTTTCTGTGCGAGAATTCATAAAGATTCGCATAAGTGTTTTGATGTAAGCTATCATCAGGTATTTAAATAAAATAACGTATCTTGTTAATGTACAAAAATAATTCAGGAAAGCTACAACTCCTTTTGAAGATTGACCTCAGTTTTTTTCTTTATAAATATTTCTTTTACAACTAGGTAGCCTAATATCTCTCGTAAGCCTCGAATTACGTCGAAGACTTTTGTACGTGTAATATAATAATAGGTATTCAGTAGTATGAACCTGTTATGTATGCAATTACCAAAAGGATAAATAATAACTCAGTTGCAGTACCAATTTTCTCAAATTATTGAACTACAAGTCTTATGTTAAAGATCTCCCAACTAGTTTGGCCACGGCAGCTGTGCACTAGACACTTTCGAAGTAGGGATCAGTCCAAATTCAAAAATTAGGAAATAATCGATAAATATAAAAAATCTATTATTTTTTATTCATCGATTTTTCATGCCAAAAAAAACAATCGATTAATTAAAAATTGATTTTTTATGCAGAATGTCACATCTCTAATAACCAACAGAAAAGTAGAAAATGTACGGTTTGTTTACGAATTTTAATACATTACACAAAATTTTCAATATTTTATTTTAATACTAAGACTTAACTCCGGCAAAAATCACTTGGAGGTGTTCCAATCAAGGTCCCAAGAGACTCCTGAATAATCAGTATCATCAAATTCGGGCGACGTATTTCTAAATCGTTACCAAGTTTTGGTTTGCCGAAGCCATATTGACAGAGTTTAGTTTCGACTATGATAGTAGCAGAAAATGGAATTAAATTTAAATTAACAGTCAACAGGCTAGGCAAGTAATGAAACGTCATCGATCTAAGTCATTTGCCTAGCTGTTTAATCAACTGGCTGAATATCTTTCAGGCCGTTAGTTAAACGGCTAGGCTGTTAATTGAACTGCTAATTAAACTAGTTGGCTGCGACAGACATAACATCGCAGGAGACTCAAACACATGAAGCTATAATTACTACAATTTTTTTCTTGGTAGATAAATCGCATCTTATCCGGGACGCCCTCGTCCGGGATGTAAATTGAATGAGCCTTGGTATATAGAAACAAAACACAATTAAAAAAACTAACTTTATTCACTGTCTAGATATTATTCCTAAAGTATAAATTTTTTAATACATTTTGGTGAAATATGAATATCTCATCTTAACTATTATCGTTTTGTATAATATACACTTATGAAATACGGTTATTGTCCTGTCTATCCGTCTCCAAACCTGAAATAAAATTATTAAAATTAGAAATGCTTTTAAAAGACAATCTTTTACAAATGATAAATCAGTTTTCTTTGAGAAGCTTTTCATACAGGTTTTGGTACAAAAAAAAAGTATGCTTAAGTTGCAGGTGTCACCAATATCAACAGTATAGGGGAGCAATAAATGTAGCCCTAGCTAGCTCCCCTGCAACAAACCCTTTAGAAATTTACGTACTGTTTCATTGAAGCCACACAGACATTATGAAAGTATAAAAAAATTATATATCAAGTATCATTACTACTTGTATGTATTACTAACCTAAAACAAAGGGCTCAACACTTGGTCCATTAACAAATTTCCTCTCGAAAGATGGAGCTAAATCCTGGAAAAGCTTCCGTAACTTGGGAGTAAAGTTCCAAAACAACACACGATGTTTAGCGACATCCAAGTCCGATATTAATGTTATGATATTCTGTGAACGAACGACATTGTATGTTATTCAAAAGGCTTGGACGTTTATACTTAAGAAACATACTCCTATTTCATTATAATATTATTATTAAAGCTTATTATTACACGAAATTAGGAATGAATTACAAATTATAACCCAAATAAGTATAAGTTTAACCGATTTTCAACGGAGACATATATTTTACCAACGTGAGTATTATTTTTAAGAAAATACACTTAAGAATTGAAAATAAGAAAATAATACCAATATACCACGCCTTTAGAAAACTAATACATATAATATATACCTCGGCGACACCAAAATCACACGACGCCAGCAACCTTCCATCCAAGACTATAACACTGCGTTCGTGTCCGTGCAAACTGAGTGTGCGTACTACATGTTCCGAGCACGCGTATGACAACGTGCCCACCAGCGATAAGGTCGTGACGTCCTGGTTACCCACCTGTAATATAATATTAAAATTAGCCTTCATTGAAATGAGGCGTGGGACACGTTTATTCCTACACTGGGGATGGGAAATGCGTGCATATAATTCAAAACTTGTTTTATTTAAGAAAATCTGCTTTAATTGTTGATACCTAATACGTGCCATACTCACTTGCCCTATGAAGGTAATTACAAATAAATAAAGTACCACATGACATTTAGACCCGAGCTGTACTTCGAGAGCAAACGTCTCTGGTAAGAGAAAAGGCGTTTAAAGGGCGAGTGTACTCCTCCCTCAAAGGCCGGCAACGCACCCACTAAAAATGGGTGTCTATGGGCTGCGAAGACTGCCCTTTTTGTTCGTCCCGCAAGCTCGTTTGCCCCCCCCTATTATATCAAAAAGTCAGTTGATTGAAAAAATTATTTTCATATGCATTTGTCACGCTGCTGACATGACTGCTATTGTTATATTACTATAGTGTTTTTTAAATATGGGATTATAATTATAGTATGATTTACATTGTATTATTATAAAAATTTGATTTTTTTTTTCTTTTTTACAAAAAGTATTTAGCCTTCGGACTTAAGTAAACGTCTTGAGTTTTTGGGTTCTTGAGGTCGTCAATAAAAACAAGTTCTAGAGACGAAATTCATTAGAGTTTGATGTATGACACAGAAAGATTGGTCAGTTCAATCTCAAAGCTGGAAGCTCACTTAGAGTTAGAATTGATATCAATTTAAAAGTAAATGTTCATAATAATCGGTCACTTCAATACAATAAAACTTACAAATAACTTCAGTAACTATTTTTGAAGTTATACTTCTTTAGGCGCGTTATGAAAAATTGATTAGAGTGAAATTTTACGATGCGCGCGCACCGTGACAAAAAATTAACAGAATGAAGTTGCCCACGGAAGATGCTACGGCATTGGACATAATTAAAAAAACAACATTCAAATAATAATAGAATTTATGTTACACTTAATGTAAGAGAATAATAATATATTAATTTATTTAATTTTTCAAATGTAAATTGAACTTTATTGACTGTAATGACTCCTTTTCCAGTCTTTGATTATTTAATTGTAATTAATTATTTGCATGCAATCAAAAACTATTTTTAATAATGCCAAATAAGTGTAACTTCTTACGCCCGTACATGTACACGCATCCTTTGTTTTATTATGAAAGACAATTTTTTGTATCTCTGTGAGTAAAACTGACCTTGATATGTTCCGTATATAACTTGGGTCGGGCAGCCGCCAGCAATGCTCTTACAGCGTCACAGGCTACACCAACAGCTATTCCATACTCCAGTCCAATAAACACGCCCACAAGTATAGTCACACCCCAAACACACAACTCAGCCTCTGAAATATGGCAGCAAATTTAAAAATATATAATTATTCATTACAAGATATGCACTACAATGTGTGAAGATTTGGGAACCCTTTTAAGTAGCTCCTCCTTAACAAACTTAAATATAATTTCTTAAGCTATATTTATATAAAATCTAATTACACGTTTTATTTAATTTACTTTACAACACACAATAATTATTAATTATTGTGTGTTGATAATAGTTACATTCAATTAATCTATTTCTACTTTTATACACTCAAAAATTACTTGTTCGTTATGCTCCAATATTTCTGAAAGTACCAACTTTTAGGCTTGACAAACTGACTAACATATAGCCATTTTCTAAAATGTTGTAATTTTTAAATTTGCCATTTTCAAAAGGAAGACAAATTTTTTGGAGTACCTATTTATTAACTCGGTTACTCTCCGGTGGTTGAACACCAACAATCGACGTATGCGCAATGGCTTAAAAGCGTCGCACAGGCGGCATCCGCTATCCTCGTCTGACAAACGTTATGCGTTAACTCTCTCACTCTACCCTAAATATTTATCATCTTTAACAGCAGGTTACCCTTATTTGCGGCCAGTTTTAACTAGGCACCCATATACGATAATTAATAGAAAAAAATTTAGCTTCAATTGGATATATAATTAATAAATGTACGTTATTAACGTATAAATGTATTGAAATCATGCCTATTTACACCTGGCTACCTAAGAAGTGCGGCCAGGTGATCAACGGCACTCGTGATTTTTTTAAATCTTTATGTAAATTGCCGTGGTGTAGACGATATTTTATTTAAATAACAAGTAAAAAAAATTCAAAATAATTTCATTAAAATACTAGCGGCCAAATTTTGATAGGCACCTTGGTAAATATTTAAAATCCTAATCCTACTAATTATAAATATGTATACATAAAAATTTGGTTTTTAGCAAATAACAGATGAGCGCACTTATCCTGCAGCCGGATCTTGTTAGCCAAAAAAAACATAGAGGATAAACTTAAAAAATATAGATGAGTCATCCAGTACCGGAGTCTGTGCAGAAAGAGAACCATCGTGGGTCAAGACCTCAAAAGGTCGCAGTGCTAAATTACTTTTTTTATTTATAACATACACACAACACTTTTACGTTATTACAGTACCACAGTAATCACTTTGATACTTAATTAGACAAATTTAAAGTTTTTTTGAAATTAGTTGTACTTACTGCTATTCTTCCAAAGCTTCTTAACGATAGCAACTTCTATAAGCGAAATCATGGCCACTATGATCACTGCGGCAAGCGTTGACCGCGGAATGAAAAAGAATGCCGGAGATAATAGAGTCACTCCTAGTAACACGGTACAAGCTGGAATGAAAATCAAAACTTAAAAAAAAAGAAAGGTGTACGTATTGATATAATAACGTATTATTGTTAACTAAAACAGCAAAATAAAAAAAAACTAATTATTTTTCATGCAACGTAAATTTTATCGACAAAAGGTACAGATACCGGCAAACATCTTGAACAAATGTCCTTGCCTGCGCAGAAGCGATTTTTAGGTATCACTTGCGGCAGGCGGTGGTGCGCTGCGAGTGACGTGTCGATCGCGTGATTGGTAAGTCAGTTGACGTTTGTGTCCCAGATGCGCAAACTTTCCCCCACTCCTTTGTTTAATGCTCAAGAAGCCGGTATCTGTAGGTTCAATTTAACAAAAACTCTTAAACTGAAATAGCCTTACTTCTGTCTTACCTTTGAAGAATGACCCCGCTGGAGTGACCACCCCACTTGCATGGTTAAGGGCTGTTCGCGTGAAAGATCCCGTAGCTGGCATGGCGGACGCGAACGAACTAAGAAAATTACACGCTCCTATTGCTATCATTTCTTGCGTGCCATCCACTGGTTTGCTCCCAGCTAAAATTAAATTAACACGGCCCTTAGATACAACACAAGATAACATCCTTTATTATGGTTATTACTTGGTTACTATGGCAACAAATATGGTATATAATCCATGTTTTATTATACAGTATTGTATAAATTTATATCATGCTTCTCACATCACAATTCGCATACCAGATTCATTTATATTAAGGCTGGAGTAGTAGTACTGGTCAGAGTTAGTAAACAAACCTTTAATATATTAAAAGAAAAACATACATTAATACAACTTTATTGTACCTATGTTATCCTTTTAATTATATAATTTCACAGACACTTTCTCAGTCACTTTTGCAGAATTATATTATATTACATTGACCGTTATATTGCAAAAACCAAATTACGTCATAAAAGATAGCGTTAATGGGCGTGTTCGGCCGAAGTAAGTACTTACTAAATTTAGTAAGTCACTTACTATGCTTACAAAATTTTCGGCCGGGACACAAAATAAGTGCTAACGCAGTAAGTATGGCTTAATATACGACGCCATTTTGCTTATTGTTGATGTAAACAAAACGGACAATAAAATATCCAATAAAATATTTCTCATAAAATTATCCATTTGAAACTATTCACAGGTATTAAATTATATTCCTAAATTTAGTACTGTCAATTATATTCAGTCTATGAGGTTATGTACGGGATATGACATAAACCGGTGTTTTGTGTTATGTTAATAAGCCAGTAAGTCTGTCCTGGCCGAAAAGCGCTACAGTCAGCTTGTAAGACTTTAATTTTTTAATGCTTACTGGCTTACTAAGTTTAGTAAGTACTTACTTCGGCCGAACACGCCCAATATGTCAAAAATTTAAATAGTATGAAATGTAGTAGTCTCTCGCTGTTGCCATCGAAACGATTACGATTTTAGACGCTAAAGGAGTTACATTAAGGTATCTCCAAGTCAAGCAAAGAAGTCTTAGTTACTTGTGATAAATGTTTAGTTAGTTTCTAACCGATACGACTTTGGATTCTCATCGATCTTCACAGATTTAGAGTTAAGCAAAATGCTGCCTGTCCTTGTAACAATACAGCTGAAGAGACCTCCACATGTCCATGTACCACAGGTACAACACTGAACAAATTATGGGAATGAACATAACAGACAAACTTCAAAGAAATGTTGAACAAAAGCTTAAGAGACTTTCTAAAATTTCTTATAAATATAATACAAACAGTTGTTAACAGAAATAAGTAGTACTTAATCATACTAGTTACAAATGCTATTTTGCTAATTATAAAATCTATACGCAAATAAGATACTTAATACCTCCGACGACAATATAGTCGGGAAATTCTCTCTACTAATATGGTCCTTCGTAGAACTTCTTCGAAAAACGTACCTTATCCATACCGATATTATAGAAAAATGTATGTTTGTAACAAAGAAACTCTAAAAAAAACTGAATCGATTTTAAAAATTCACTATTTGAAGCTTCTCTGTGAGAAACAAAGCCTATATGAATTTCTGAAATTTAAAAAAATTACGTCAACCCATGCGAAGCCAGGAAATGATACTAGTTTCTAAAATGCCGGCAACGCATATGAAACTTCTATCATCGTTTTCCTGTTTTTAACCGAAGTAGGAGTATATGAATACGACTTGTATTGAACTTACCAAAAGCTTTAGCAATAGCAACACTCTCCAATATGGTAACCAATGGCATGACAAGTCCACTCGGTCCAAATACCGCAAGCATTTGTTCGAATCCGAGCGTCACGTTGTTCACTACTGTACTGAAGGGCGGTGGTCCAAAGTAGGGAAGACCACCTTGGATTTCACCTGGAATTTATACATTTATTTATGTAATTTCATCTTTTTAAGATGGCCTAGATACGAATAATTATACTATTTTACGCATAATATTTGATAATAATCTATATATATAAAAGAAAAATGGTCTTCGTTTGAGGCTCCTTCACGCCTAAACCACTGATCGTATCGACATGAAACTACCACCATTCGATGCGAAATTTTTCCTATTTATTTATTAAATTCCAACGTTCCTTCATTTTTTTATTGCTGTTTTACTTTTATGAAAATTTATCCATACGGACTTCACCGCGGAAACATTCGGGGAGGCTTCCTAGAACCTCTAAACGTCAACATCGGTTAAAAACTCGATTTTCGAAATATTTCAATTTTCTTAGCGGGAAGTTAAAAAGAAGAATAATAAAAATATGAAAAAAAATAAAATAATGAAACATAAAATTTATTTTAATTCGTCCAGCAAAGCGGGCGCGAAACGGCTAGTATCATATAAAGAAAAATGAGTAAGGTCGAAATGCCCGTACTTAATTAATTAATTTATATTTATTTAATTAATTTATATTTCAATATGAATTTAGGGACGTGCCCCAATAAACGAACATAGCATTTTACTCAACGGAAACTTATTAATTACATTTCATTATCCGGAAGTCGAACAGTTTATAAATTTAAATGTGTTATGGTTCCGTCGATAGTCACCAAAATATTTGCAATAAATTTTTTTTGCAGATTTGGCCATTTTTTACGCGAAACTTAGTTTAAATAAAATTTTATATAACACTTAGGGTACGTATAATACAGATATACATAGTTTTTGATTGAATATGTATCAACTATTGGGAGCATTCAAGTATTACGTAACGAATTTTGGGGGGGAGGGGGTCCTTTTGTAAAACGTTACGATGCGGGGCGGGGATTGAATTACGCGTTATTGTTAATATTATTTTTGACTTTCCAGTACTTTACACCACATAATGGTAACTTTTAGGTATAAAGAGTTACTACGTGGTCACGAAACGTTTTACTATACTTAGGTACAGTACTATACTTGGGTACAGAAAAACGTTACGGCGCGTTACATGGGAGGGGGTGTCAATGATCTCCAAAAATTGCGTGACGTAATACTTGAACGCTTCCTAACTAGCTTGAAGTAAATGAACAATTTTCATCTGTAAGAAATTTTTAATTATGTTATAGTAAGGTATAGTATAGTATAGTTCATGGTTACAAACAAACAAAGAATCTTTATAGTAAAAATGTATGACTCATAAACGTACCGGTCAAATTGAAAGGCACGATATCATATCTGTAAAGCGCGAACGCAAGTATCGAAGCTCCAAGGACAACGAACGCGTTACGTGCACTCACTACGTACACCCACGCACGGGACGTCCGCACTCGACACGTGCTCGACCCTTCTGGTGCCCGAATTTTGGAAAACTGAAATTATTTATGATAATATTGCAACGGATTTGAAGGAGACTTATATAAACAAACAATAATTAGTTATATAAAAAATCACCAATTAACGTTTTAACATTTTTATAGCATATAGAGTGTGAATTATCTTGTACGTACTTCAACTGGCTGGACATATTTTACTATAAATTTATTATAACGACGATGCATGCATTAAAATATGTAGTTTATATTTATTAGTTATGTAAAATAAGGTGATGAATATTTCTGACCTGAAAGATATAAAGAAGTATGATAGATATAATTCCCAGTAATGTGTCATACAATTGAATCGTGCTTATATTCTTGAAGAAATTTATTATAGCACTCATAAAAGTTTCACCCGAAGATCCTAAAAATAATAGTAAATTTATTTCTTCGCGCCAACAAGGCCACATTTATGAAGCATAAACTAAAACTTAACCTAAATTATGAACAAGCTGAAATAAAGGAAGAACAAATATTGCAAGAGTATGTTAGGAGCGTAAACCCTAGGTTGAAGGTTTGGTTCAATCTAAGAATGTATTACACATTCACAAACTTCTAGGTTTCTGATGTCTTATCAATCTAGATAAGACATAAGGTGAGTCTAGCATATTATTGCAGATAAAAAAAGAACACAAAATCTAGTACTGAAGTCGATCTAAATTCCGGGGATTTTTGATAATGAATTTATAGAAGTACTCTTGTATAAATTCATTATCAATTAGTAGTTAAATATGAAGGATTCTGTGCCCGCTGACACTTAGGCCGAAAATGTTTCCGGGAAACCAAACCTAGAAACCAAGTTATTAAGCGTACAAATCTCAAACCTAAGACCCTGCTATGAAATAATGGATTTTTATATAAATTACAGAAGGATATACTTCTTCCTTGCTAAATCATGAACCAAACGCAAAAATGTGTATGCCTAATGTAAAATACATACAAGTTTTTACCTGATAACCTGAATAGTGCCTTCAACTGTCCTGCACCTATCTGTAAGGCTGCGGCCGTAGTAAATCCGCTGATCACCGGTTTCGATATAAAGTCCAATAGAAAGCCTGTAAACATGTGATTACTAATATTATTTGATTAAATAAAACGATAAAGCAAAACGCGTAGTGCGTAATTAAATAATAGATTTTTTGCGAAATTCAAATCGGCAGGATTCCAGTACAAATTCGGAAGGAAACTTTATTTGTTGTGTACCTGGTTTATTTTTAAGTAAACAAGGTGAACATGCGTTTCAAATTATAAATACGCTAAAGATACTAACTTAATTTGAACATATTGAATGAGATATATGTATTTAAATTACTAATTAAAAGTATACCCGATTTTGATCCTAAAAATAAAGTTATATGCTTTTGCAATATATAAGATCTATGCGGAAATGTAACATAAACTAATTTCCAAAAACACTCAAATCATTCGATTTTTATCGTAAAATCTATGACATGTGACAGTAATCCACTTGAATGGAGATAGTTGAAGTGTGTTTTTTTCATACCTCCCAAATTGTGCATTGATGAAACAATTCAATACAAACATAATTTCGTTTTTATTTTACGTATAAAGACTTAAAAGTTTTTTTACGAAATCCATGCTGGTGAAATTTTAATGACGTTTTTGTTAAATAAATTGGTAATCATATATGATTTGGTTTTTATTTTATAACATGAACTTCGACGTCCTCTATACATCGAGCTTACATAACCTATAACGTGGTCCTGGTTTCGCTTTCCGACAAAACAGAATATTTTCTCTTAGTTGTTAATGATTCTACATAAATAATATAAAAAATCGTCTATCGAAATAATTATAATTGTAAAAAGTGACTAACAAATATTTTTGGTATAAATACGATTGGCAATATCAACTATTATTACTTACCCAACTGTAATATTCCGAGTAACAATATAATAATACCGGTCATGAAAGCAGCGAAAAATGCAAAGTCAACTGACAGAGCAACGTATTTAGCTATCAATACGGACAAAATGGCGGTCGGACCGGCGCATACGTCCTTTGAACTACCGAATATCGTGTACACCATACCGGGGAAGATACTCGCGTAAAGTCCCACCTGGGAAACAAATGATTTTTAGCATGGGCGGTAGATAACAATAAAGAACATCGTCCACCACAGTACCATTGTCTCAAGCCTTGATACAAGCGTTACATATTAAGGAACGCCTTTTCGAAACTAAAAAAAGTACTTTGTGACAAGCGCCTAAATTTACAAATTAGAGCGAGCGAGCGCGATGTTACGTCTTCTCTGTCCTGCTCTGCGGCGTAAAATCTTGGACGCTGACAGAGACTCCAAAAAACTGAAAACGTTCGAGATCTGGGTTTATAGACGTATGCTTAAACTGTCTTGGACCTACCGCTTACGAAATACAACCATGCTGGACAGAATGCAGAAGAACGAAAGTGCTTAGGAGTTAGGGCGGTTAAGAAAGTAGAATATTTCAAACACGTCTTATGTAACACCAAAAATTACGAGTTCCTTCAACTAATCATACAAGGCAAAGTGGCAAGTAGAAGTCAAAGCACCAAGTCATTGTTCAAAAGCGCGCCATCCAAAATTAAAGTATAATAATAATGATCGCCAACCTTCGAGAGGAGATGGCACTATTAGAAGAAGATTACATATTACATAAACTATAAATGCAGAATTTTCTGGCCCTCTATGGATGCTTGCTCCATATAGATAAGTAGATAGGAAACCTTTATCCTCGCAAATCAATACAAACATATGGTTTATCTTGACCTAGATTAAGAGCAGCAATAGAATAAATGGTAGGCGATCAGAAACTTCCGACCCAAAATAAAATTTAGCACTACATCAAATTCTAGTCAATCAGTGTATCAATTACCTGAGGTGGTACTCCAGCTACCATGGAGTATGCAATTCCTTGAGGTATCGAAGTGCATCCTACAGTTATGCCTGTAATATAAAAAAAACAAGAATATGATAAGAACCAGTAGCACGACAGGCCTCTGTATCTGTTTCGTGATCTTTTTTTCAAAGCTCTCGGCTGAATTCTATTGTACTAGGTTCTTAATAACAACGTCATCGGCTGTTACGAATATCGGTTTTTACGACCAAATGTTAGTCCCTTCGATGTCGATATAACAGATTTTGACTGTAAATACATTTTATTTTATATATAGATAACCATTGGAACTTTTCATTAGACCAACTTAGTTGGTCAACGATCATTACATCGTCGAAACTGAAGTTAAAGCCATATTTTAATGCAAAATAAAAATATTTAAAATTGATTATAAATAGATATTTATGAAATATGCTTAATTTTAAATAGTTATTATTTACATTATACATTTTATAATTCTGCTTAATGTAAGCGGATGTTATATTAAACCGTGCACGTGCCAGGTTAAATGAAAACTAGATAATTTCTATAAGAAAATTTCACTAATAAGCATTCATATGAAGAGAAACGTTTTATTAATGTGTAACGATTCAAATTTTTATCTTTGAAAATATAGTAAATTTTTTGCGCTAAGACTCTTCGGTGATTATTAAAAACATTTTGAAGACAAGAAAACGCGCTTCTAACAATTTTACATAAAGTTTTTTTAAAAATTATCGAATAATTTCACGTAGGTATATACATAAAATAAATTTGACCTGTAAATTATGACAGTAAAATGACACATCGCGCAATACATTACAATATAATAAACCTAAATCAGTCCTATTACACTGTTTAAACGCTTTAAGATATAACAATACTTTAGTTTCTGTAGGATAGTAGTCAATTGTATTGAACTCTAAATCCTGGAGTTACATAAAAAACTTTCTCAAGAACGCCAGAAACATTTCTAACTACAGCAACTGAAATCCAAATAAAATGGATAATAAAATAAGAATATTTACCGGCAATGAGATCCTTTATAAGATAATTTAGCCTATATTTTGGTAACCATATGGTGATGGGTAGTCGACTCTTCCATGACTGAACGCTACATAACTTGGAAGCCACCCGCCGAAACTTATTCTTTCGCCTCGGACCTGAAAAAAAAAAAACTCGTGAAAATTTTATCTGACTTCATCTATATGTATAATAAAGTTTTTTAATAATAGTAATGTATTATAAAAAATGCTTTCACCAATATAAAGATTAAAGCTTCATTATCAGCTAGAGTGGAGATTTAAAATGTTGCAAAGACGGAAGAAAATATTATCATTTTGAGATTTAAATCGAGAATAATTTGGACAAATTTGAAAGCCCAGATTACAAGTATTTAAATATTAATCAAACTGATAAAAGATTTTTGCCAATCAGAAATATCAGACTTATTAGTATGTTAAGTGTTCAATGTCTAATCATGCTTTCCTATTATTATTAATATCGAAAAATAAACAAGGTTTTTTTAAATTGTAAAGATAGACCGTTATAATTTAAAAATAAAAAAGGATTTTTTTTTTTATAGAACAGGGCAAACGGGCAGGAGGCTCACCTGATGTTAAGTGATACCCATGGACACTCTTAATGCCAGAGGGCTCGCAAGTGCATTGCCGGCCTTTTAATTTTAATGCTGGTAACGAAGGAAGTGTTTACGAAGTGGAAGATGGCAAAAACGAGAAATGAAGATTGTGAAGATTTACGATAACTATTAAATACTTTCTTATGAAACTCTGAAAATTTATCAACATGATAGTATACTTGTGAGTTAACTAAGTTATAAAATTTTGTGTTAATAGTTACGTCTTTCGCAATAAGAAAGCCTCAACGAAAAAACAAACCAGCATGACTTCCCTCACTTAAGAGGAATTTAAAATCAATCAAGCCATTTAGGAGACAGCGTGATAAAAGATCAACAACACATAATGGATATCATGTGAGCCTTGTCCTTAGTCATATGATATATTTAAAATGCATTTCTTATTTATTAAGATTTCCCGAAATTATCGACTATATCATGATATGAGCTTTAATTTTACTGAGATGCATCTGTTTCGTGATATTTTTTTAATTATACCAGTAGGTGAGCAGCCATTTGCCTGACACACACCTTCAACAAGCGAGTATTGGATGCGCAGATAGACAGAAAATCCATTGGCGCAAAGCCGGGATCGAACCTGCGACCTCAGAGATGAGAGTCGCTGAAACCAGACTGCTCATTTTAAACATATATGTAAACCTTTATGAATAAAAATCTAGCGCTACAACCCTTTATTTCTTTTATAGGTTATAGCCAACATTGAAAATAAAAACGGCTAACACAAAAGCTTAACCACACTGACTGTTTTAATTGTAATTATCAAGTACTCGCTGAAACTTTTTTTTTAAAGTAAACTAGGTCCTAAATCCTGTAAGTTCTAAATGCAGAATAGAGCATACCATAATTCCAACATTATAGACAAGGAACCAATGAGGTTTTAATCCTTTTTGTGTCAACGATTAATTTTTTGAAAATTTACCAGATTTACGAGCTAGGCATTACTAACCAAGCCAGGCTTGCGGTCAACTTCTAATGAATGCGCAAATAAATCTTGGACTTAGTCTGTGACCATGTACAAACCGAATAGGTGCCACAGACATTTCTGGGTTAAGAACTTGACGCGCCACCAATTTATGCCTTATATATAAGACCTAGATTTTTTCGTTACTAATTAGTATCGGGTCTAACATGAATTTAACACGTGCATATTTATATAATTACTAGCTGTCACGCGGCCCGCGATGTATTGGTGTCAGATTTAGGAGCCACACCTATGAATTGGAAGGAAAGGTAACCCCCGATGTAAGCAAAGTATAACGCAACGGAAAAAGCTGTTCGTTATTGTAATTCTTTCGAACCCATAAACGATGCGTCGAATGCGGCCCGCGCTTTGGGGGTTTAAGGGTTTGATGCCGTATTCCCTATGAAGTGTCCCATAGAAAATGTATGTACTTTAAAGCTCTCTCCTGAACAAAAAACCTGGCCAAATTTAAATACGTAAATTGAGAGCTCTAAGAGACCCCCACACTAACGTCTTCCGAGCGTCGTCGTCGTGTCAGCGTCCGCACAGCGTCGCTACGTCGACGCCGCGGCGACGTGACTCTAGCGCTGGCCGGCTACTACGACTACGATGCTGACACGACGACGACGCTCGGAAGACGCTAGTGTGGGCGGTCTCTTAAAGCACTCCAGGCTTCGAATCAGTTTCCCCATACCACCAATCCACCTTTCACCGATTCCGCCGTTCCGCGGGCTGTTCAATTTCATGTTCCAATGGAAAATGGAAACCAGAGGTCGCAACAAATTTGAAATATAAATGTACAGGATTAATGTACGAGTCGAGTGCACAAAGTTGCAAGGTTAGCGGTCTTCCTTTTCCCCCGTCATTTGAATTTTTCCTACCATCCCTCAAGCTCAAAATTATCTTCAACTTCTGTTCAATTGCCCCAATTTAATCTTGCGCCTTAGCCTTTGCCTTTGGCAATCTCCGAGGAAGCAGATTGAAAATTCTAGATTTCATGTTTTTTTCCTATTTTCCCTACCTGATGGAAGTTAAAAACCAAACTCAAAAATATTCAGTATATCGCTGGTTACTCCAAACAATAGTTTGTTTTGGCCAAAAATTCAAAAATGGAACGCCAGCGGTGATAGCGACTACCGTACCACCTCCTCCTAGCCCCAAGTACCTGATCAAAGTTTTGTTCGAAGAACCCCTCTATTTGCTACCGTTTAACCGAACCGTTAATTTTTGTGGTATGAAACTTGGAGACGGATTTCCGGTACGATCTAAGACCAAAAAGAAAATGTTTTGCCACAAACGGCGATATTAGCCAAGTAAAGTGGCAATCTCATCTTCGATGCTTTTGGATTTTTTGGCTTAAACTTCCAAACGTCATACCGCCCACCCGACCTCGCTAGGTATCATCGTTCAGGCGTATCGTTGATGTAGTTTTTGAATTTTCAGACCTCGACCTTACTAGACCAAATTTGCATTTTTCCTCTATTCGATTTTGGGGTCTTAATACACCTAACCCCTCTTCCTCGAAATAAATGGCGATAAATAAAACTGGTACATCCAGATTTATATAAAATAATTCTAACATTAATCCAGAAGGCAAAGATAGACTGCCAGTGATAGTTTACGAGTACTTCACATTCAAATAAAACTTTCTTAACACATAACATTTTAATGTACAAAACGAAACTTCAGATACAAAAAATTTTAGTGACAAATTCAGTAAAATTTAGATTTAATTGGTTTTCATTTATTCCTTTTAGGGGTTTTTTGTTTGTACGAGATTTTCTATCATAGATTTATTTTTGTTTCATTTGACCGTTGATAACTTACACGTGATCTGGTAAAATATAACAACAAAAAATCCTATCACATTAGACTGATAATATTATTCGCATTATACGATCCGATTACAATGAAAGGTAAATAATGTACAGGATATCTTGCCTGATTTTAACGATTGTGCAAAAATATGTCTGTGAATATGAAAACGCATACGGCGCCTACTAGTCTGGCCGCGCAAAACCATCACTCTTATACATAAAAAATAAACAGTTTAATCTAATCATAACCTCTCTTTTTATCACAGCGTAAACGTAATTTAACAAAAAGAGACGAGAGATAGTGAATTTTTCCCTAAATAGACACTCTCGCTGATATTTAGACCCACATTAAAAAATATATTTGGGGCGTGAAATAGTTGTAGTAAGAACAGTTTTCTTTGCTCTCCACTGAAGTATTACCGAACCAATTCGACTTAGGCTCCATTAAGAAAAGAGCATACCGATTCTTAAAAGGCCGGCAACGCACATGCGAGCCTTCTGGCAATGTGAGTTTTGTCCTGTTCGTTTGCCCTACCATATATAAGAAAAAAAAATTGTTTATTATTACGACAGTATGTTATATCGATTTTGTCGTAATTTAACCCTTACCACTAAAGGACATAAGCTTACTGGAACCATTTCAGACCATTGGCATATCAACGATATCATGTTATGATAACTCAGTCAAGTAGGCTTTATTATGATAAGTTGTATCCTCTAAATTCGTTTTCGCATTTGTCAATTTCTATAAGTCCCGACATTATGATATTTTTTAAATTGACGATTTTGAATAATACAACATACATAACTATAAATTTTACAAAATAAAATAAAGTATTAATACATATTTACTTGTAAATATTTTAAAGGAGATCAAACTTTAAAAATTATATTTGGGAATGTAGGATCAGATTATTAAAAAAAAACTATTGCTCTCTTGTTTACATATTAAACAAAATTTAAAAATACTTCTGAATGAAACACTTATGAACATTATGTATTTTAAATACACACAATTTTTGTATTTTTTTTTATATTCGTAAGTTTACCGGTTTAATTAAGAAATATAGGCTGTTGTTCATCAAAAGCTGATAACGAATTGTAATTAGCTATTAGTTTATTCAACAATTAATTGCCGATTGGCTGATTATACTAATATAATATTTAATAAAATTAAACATAATAACAAAGAATTAATTATTATTACAAAATATTTCAAATGCTCGTATACCGATACAGAACCTTTTTTATACGTCCATAAACTATAACATAGCTCTCACGATATCACTATGTAAAACAAATCTCATACCAATAATGCCGCTCATTTTGAAGTCACTTCACGTCTTGTAAGTTCGACGTTTCGTATCTTAATGATAATATAAGATGCATACTCAACAACTATTAACTCGTGTCGTACGCCAAGCAATTTAATATCAGATCACGCGCTTCCGAAAATTGTGAATGTACTGCGGTCTTGTCTGTTAATAACCATTTAATGCAGCGTATGCGCAGATTTTACAGTTATTATGAATCAAAAGTCGATCTAATTACACCTATCTTATTATTACATGTTTGATAGTTGTGAAAGCAAGCATAATTTCCTTCAATTCCGAAGCATAATTCGGAATTACAGTTTTCGCTGCGGTTATTGTAAAGAACACGAGACATCAAGTTATGTAAACAATGATAGTTTGCATTGATGTCTGTTCAATAAATTTTATTCAATTGTTTGCGTATACAAAGACAATATTTAAGTAATTTCCTGTTACCAATTTCTACTTGTCTTCAGTTAATAACACCATGTATATGTCACCGTAAAATTGTAAACACCGTTAGATTGTAATCTATCTCGCGAGATTATAAACTGTCGAAAGATTGTGAACCTCAATGAACTGCTTACAATTTAACGTATTATTATTCGGTAGATTGTAATCTATCGAAGTGAAACCGTCAAATTGTGAAACGGATCGCACCTCGCGCGCTGATTGGTTGAACGGAATATGCCCCGTTAAATTGTAAGCAGTACGCTGAGGTTCACAATCTTTCGACAGTTTATAATCTCGCGAGATAGATTACAATCTAACGGTGTTTACAATTTTACGTTAACATATATATATCTTGAACTTAATTTTTTTCTTAATTTTCAAACAATAATTACCTAAAAATATATTATACTTGACAGCCGCATTTAATCTTATATGTATATATAGATTACTTAACTGGTAAACAGTCTTAAAGTTATGTTGTCTTTTGAACATAATAAAGAACTGATAAGTTGTTTTTTATCACCATTATAATAATACATATCATTATCTGCATAACTTGTCTCAATAAGAAAAAAAAAATTAAAATGAAAGGTGAAAAAATTTATCTATATATTGCTAAATCTAATCAAATCTATTTAAAAAAACTTTAAGTTTTTATAGATAGATTTGCACACGGCTTATTTCCACATACAATTTTTTCTTATACTTATTAATGAGGTTTAAAAAATTATCATTTATTTAAAATGTGAAATGATAAACACTCCTAACATTCACATGGTGTATAGCGTACTCTATCATGGCTTGCCCAGTGTTCAATATTTTAGCAGTTAGAAGCATTTTTTAGCAAGTTTAAAAACTGGCTAAAATATATTCTTATATGATACTCACAAAAATAAAATAAAGTCTGAATTCTAGTGACTTATCTAATTTAAACTAAAAAGTTTATTAACTATTTGTTGAACTCATTAATATAACTTGCCCTTAACCCCATGTAGGTAGTATTAAGTACCCAACCATGATTAGTCCAATTAAATATTACACCGTTTGTATTATTATACCTTCTAGATTCCAAACTATTTATTGGATAGTTTAGAAACTAGTAAGTAGACTGCAAAGTACATAATACTTCAGTCTAGTCTTTCATTCAAGTTTTCCTTACCTAGATGTTATCAATTAAAGGTTTTATAATATTCAAAAATATCTCTACTAAAATTTATTTAAAAATATAGTATATATAGTAATAAAATATACTTCAGATACAAAACAAAAGCAATCCTCTTAATCTCTACAAATATTGTACAGGCTGTTTTATTCTAATCAGGCAATGAATCAGTTTGTTAAAGCATGCTCAGACATTACACATCATAAAACGCGACTGAGATTATTACTGCAAGTAATCCTAGGGTAAAACTATTGTAACAAGTGTGAAGTAATATATTTATGAACAATAGATAACCATACAATTTTGTTTATTATGAGTTATTTATAAGTCATTTTTATTATAATGTAATTTTGGAACATTACAGGTTATATGTATGAAATTAAGGGAACAGTAGCAAAATATAGTAACTTTACGTATGTAATATATACTAATCTTTGTTTGAGATTTTCCTAGTTAAAAAAAAAATCGGTTGTCTGTAAAGTCGGTTTACTGACGATAGTTGAACGTGACAACGTCATACAAAAATATTGATGGGATGGTTGCATTTTTTCAAAAAAAAATATTAAATTTTATTTGTTTGATAGGTATTTTGTATGGATATAGAGAAGGAGGTAAATGGAAATCACAATTGAATTGATCAAGTTACATTTATTTGTACGCATAAATACAATTATGTCAATTTTAAATGTAACGCCTCAGAGCGAGGTAACGCCTCAGAGAGAGGTAACGCCTCAGAGCGAGGTAACGCCTCAGAGCGAGGTAACGCCGCATGAGTCATGTTTTTTCGTGCGTGCAGCCGGCTCCATCGAATTATAAGACGTTGTCACGTCAAAACTTTCAGATACATAATATGCTACAACACTGATTCATATGATGTAAATGTAATCAGGCTATATTGCTTGCTAAATATGATATGATTGTTTAGTATTGTAATAAATAAATTAACAGAAATATTATAAGGCCCTTAATATATATAAAATAATCTTACCAAGGAGAGGCTG